CTTAACCCAAATATAAACAAACTTTGAAATATTGTTTCCATTACAGTTAGAGAGGAAGTCCTACATTCACAATGATACTACATCCTTGTATTTGACCTTTAACTTTTTCCTACCTGATTTAAAAATATAATAATTATCTATAAAAAATGATAACCCTTGTTTACTGCATTTCATGCAGCTTGTCAACCCCTCCCCCTTCTTTTTCCTTCCCATTCGAATGTGCTTACTCCAGCTGGTGGTACAATACCAGGAGGCGGTATCGCCTCTCTGATCCTCTAGTTCATATTATTTCCAAATAGCTCCAAAATGTCCATCACATCATAACTCTGGCTTGAAGTACAGAGAAATTGGACACATTCTAGAATAGATTTTTGCTTTCTTTTAGCCACAATAGAGTGTATTTAGAATTCTATATGTTGGAGTGAGCACAGTAGTTGTACAGTAATGATGGTAATAGACAAAATATAAACATGCTCAGACTGTCTGAAAATAGAAATAAATCCCGAAAAGTGCCATTTACACTTGTTTTATTTAATCTCTTTCCCTATCATTGTTGTTGACCATGTTTTCCATTAGTAAAAAAGCAAGGTCTGGTTATATAATGGGATAGATTTGCATTCCTGTAACTGTTTATATATTTTGAATGAGCCAACACTTGGAGAATCTTCCTTGTAGTGTCTCCTGGTAATTACTATCAGTTTGGTGTCAGGGATAAATCACAAATGTCAAATTATTGAATACATTATAAACCTTGTTATTCTTTAAAATGAATCTAAGCCACTCATAATGCATTTCTAGGAATGTGATTATTCAGGGGATTTGCTGATTTCGGGGATTTTGCCCAGACACAAAAACATCCTTACATCTGATTTTCCATGGGATTTCATAATTTGCGGGGCTTCTTGTCTGATTCTATCATATTTTGGGTTTATCAGATTTGTAACCCTGCATGAATATTTGAATGATTGATCAAGTATAATTTGTTAGCAGAAAGATCAATCCAAAAATATACTCGTGGCATTTTCTCTTCTCAACTAATTAACATCACTAAGTACCTGTTTTTGTCCTGAAGACATATATATCTCCCTTTAAAAAATGAAATTGATAGTGCTGCAAGAGATTGTTTCATTTAACACAAAGTGAGAATACAAGGAAAGTATGTAACCACTGTCTTAGTTTAAACCAAGTGAATTAAAAAAAGACGAGGCATAAGATATTTTAAAGAATATTTCTGAGTTTGGAATCAGATAAAATTTAGCCAGTAACAATATGGAATTAATTGGAAGATTTAAAATATTTTATTTATTTATTTATTTGCTTATTTTTGCATGCCAAATCTCCACATATTTATCCTAAAATGCACATCTTTTTATTTTGGGAATGATATTATTAATCACATAGAATTCTACTGGGTATGAAAGAAGTAGGAAGGCAAAGGAAGGTTTTCTGGTAGAGAAAGATCTGTGTTAAATTAAGCTTTCTGCTAGTGCTCCACCAGGTTAACTGATGAAATTTTTTATTTTTATCATAAAGGCACTGAATGGTTGTACTTCACACCAGCACAGAATAATTTTCTATCTGATTGCAAGTGCAAATTCTCTGGTCATTTTTACGGTGTAAAGCTACAGGAATCCTTCAATTTTGTCCTATAAATAGCATTTGTTCTGTTCTCATTGAGACTCCTATCTAATCCTGGTGGTTATTTTCTGTTTTTTCAGGCAAGGAGCAGCATATAGCATCAGTGGTGACTGAGCTCTATAACAGATACCACCTAATGGTAAAACCAGGGGAAATTCTGCTCTTTGACGATGACTTAGAGAATGTCAAGATTGCTGTGGAGTTTGGACACAAAGGATTTGAAATTAAAGAAGATGTTTCCCTAGATAGTCTTCTACGTTACGCTAAAAACTGCTAACTGAATATATTTACTGTTTATATTTTATGGTTGAGCCACTTTTTTGGTAAAATTTGAGAAGTTCAGGGTTGTCAACATTGTAAGCGAGAAATTTTAAAATTTACCGAAATATTTCAAACACCGTCTTACCATTTTTTCAAAATTTTCTCAGTATTAGTCAGACACAATAACATATGATCCCAGACTTCTTTCTTGACACTTACAACTGATATTTTTGACATTTTACTTCAAAACCAAGTCTGTGTTGATTTAGAGAATTGTAACCATATCTGGTTTATATGTCATCGACTCATGTCCTTGGTGATGGAGTGATGGCTTACACAACAAAAATCAATAGTTCAAATGTGTGATATGCGTGGAAATGTCTGGAGTTGACAACCTTGGACAAAAGAATTGCCTTTGGTTAAAACATGGAGAGAAAAGCAGTCACAAAATGCTCATGATACATTATGTATAAGACCTGCACTGTCTGACTCTGTCGGGTGGGGTGGGGGGGGCTGGGGGGGGGGGGGCACAGACTATATACCAGGTTATTCTAACTCAACACAGAGATCTGCATAATGTGAATTTTAGGATGCTAATTATTAATTTTGTTGGGGTCCTCGTATTTTTAAGACTCCCAGTGTAAAAATAAGTGAAAATAGAAAGAAAAAAGAAATGGGTTTTAGGTAGAGCCCTCAGAAACCAGACAAATTTCCTGTTGAGGACAAAAGTAGCTGTTTGGGGCTAAATCAATGATAAATTGTCTTGCATGGAATGTTGATTTGCACCTCCAAGTTTGTTCAAATACAGAGTGAACATCATGAGAAAGGCAGTGTGTTTTTGGAATGAATAAAAACAGGCCAAAATCAATAAGGTAAACTTGCTTTTATTGTAAAGCTGTTCCCCGTATATTTGCACAGACGTTGACTTCATCCAGAAGGGACGATATCCACACCAACAAACCACCAAATACCAGGAGTTTAGATGTATGATGCCTGGTGTGAGTTTACTCCAGACTGCTTTCTGTGCAGAACAAAAACCCATGTTAAGAGATGGTATTTGTCCAATCACTTCACAAGGTACAGAACATAAATATAAACCATATTTGAATTGAAGAGTTTATTGCAAGGTTGTCATGGCAACTGTTGCGTCAGGAGCCACTGTCACATGGGGCAGTATACTTTAGCAATAGTCTGTACCAGCACACTTGGAAAGATGGGCAATTTATTAGTATGGAGAACCTGTGAATGGGAGTAAACATCCTTGTGGTGTGATACCATGTTAGAACTTAATGTCAGAGTGTATCGGTACAGTCTGTATCACTAGAGTATATCTCTTGATGTGAAGTTGGACGTGTAAAGAATTATTGTTGTCTGCAGTTTATTGTAAAGAACATTGCATAGTTTACCCAAGTGGATTGTTTATGTTATAATTTCAGTTTACAGTGCACAATTATATAGAACTACAAAGCAGTGAATGTACTTGAAACTGGCCTGGTCCACTTTGAGAAATTGACAACTCCATATCCTTGCTGATATATATATAGGGGGCGCCCAAGGTTCATTGGTTCGAAAAATTGTTTGTACCTGCCTCTGATGAACATTACTTTATTGCCAGTACACTTAAGTGCATTCAGTGTAATCAGCTTGATTGCCTGTCACACCTCCTTGAGTAGCTAGTTAATAAGGTTATTACCTCCTAGCAAATTGAGGAGGCGTGTTAGACATTTAAGCCAATTACAGTGATTGCACTAAGGGAAAGTCTCCTCTAGAGTTGGATCGATACAGCTAGTACAATTGGTTTATCTGAACACTCTCTTAGAGTCATTGTTCTTTTTTTCTCCCCACATGTAAAAATGCAGTATACAGTTTTTCACATTCAAAGCGTATTTATCCTTTTGTATAAATGTTATATGTATATATATTTATGTACATTCTGTTTGTATTACTTTCTTAATTGTTGAAATGGCACAGAGATTTCAAGAGTGGAAAATATTTTTCCTTAAAATGCTGCACAGAAAAAATGCTCCAAAACATTTAGGATGGTAGGTCCTCACTGTAAAAACCTGATATGTCAAGTTTTTATGTAAGATTGTAAACTGATATATTCTATTGATGGATGTGTGCCTTATTTTAGGTTCAAACCTTAACTATTTTGTCTGGAGTTCAAGCCATTATTGTGTATATTATTAGTTTACCATGACATTTATTTAAAACTTGGTGCTGTAGCTTTGTAGATTCATGACTATATGGTGTCATTGTGGGAACTTACAAGCAAATTCAAAGATGTTGCTGAAAGACATTGTATAAAGTATAAATTGTGCAAATGGATCTCTAGTTTTGAGATTGTAGACCATTTCCGTTTAATGTGTACCAACCACTGTTATACATCAATTTTGGCAGTTTATTTATTTATTTTGCAATATGTTTTTAATGTATTAAAGGTAGCGTGTCAGAGATGAATCTCCAGTTAGGTAACCAGCTGTTTAGAAGTGATATTCTGTTTTCTGTAAGGCTGAATTTCTTTCAGATTGATAGATTGGGGGAATTTTGGTATGTCACATCAATAAAAAATTGGTTAGACAAGAAATAAATTTCAGTACATATCAGAAAGTGTTAAGATTTCTATCATTGATGGTAAACACCCTCTGCTAAAAAAAACAACTTCACATGGTAATGTTAGAATATAATATGTATTATTACCATCAAAGTCCTTACAACTATTAGAATGCCAAAGAATGAATGTGACAGATAGTTGCCTGTCGTAGCAAAATATATCTGGTATCTGTGTCAGTAATAATTATGAAGTTATTATTGTAGTTTGTTGATGTTTGTTTTGCAGGATATTATGTGAGATTAAAGTTCTGAATTAAAACTTACTGCTATTACTGACCGACCTTTTCCTTTGTATTTTTCTATTGTGCGAAGATTTGTTTATTTATTTTGAATTTAAGGCGGAATAAAAAGTGCATAATGTTCCTTTTTCAATGTAGTATGGCCTTTATGTCACCCCCCCCCCCTTCCCCCAATTGGGGAGATATCAACTGCGCATGCATCGAGTATAATGCCGAACTACCTCATAAAAGGTCAAGGTCGTTCAAAAGGTGCCTAACTGTGATATGCTCTGCCCGGGCGGGCAGGTGTCCTGTCTCATACTCATAGGTGACTATTTAAAAAGATGTGTTTCATTCCACCGTCAATAGTGAAATTGTAAGAGATGGACCGGATAAGAAAAGGTGTGGAAGAGTTGTGTTCTGCAGATGTCGGAGAAAGTGTTAACGGAGCTGACCTAGAGAAATTCGGCCTCGAAGGTACATGTGTAGAACATTTCGTTGGGGCTTTCCTCCATTACTGCCATGAAACATTCGATTTCGGAGTCATATGCCATGTTTACAGCTTTCTGTTTTAAATGTGTAAAATTCTTAACTGACAAAAGTACGTGTCGTTAATGAATTAAGAATGCTAGTCTCTCTCTCTCTCTCTCTCTCTCTCCGTGTGTGTGTGTGCGCTTTTAGAAAAATAATAGAAATGATAATCTACACCCAAGTGAGTTTTGCCTTGTACATTTTGAAAGGGGGTCTAGAAAATACCCACTCTTTGATACTTGTAAATATCATAATAAAATGGTGGACCCCTTAGGCACACTTATTATTCATTATTTTGATAATTCAACACCTGGACAGGTATAAAACTAAGGCCATACCAGCTGTCTGGAGTCAACTGGCTGATAGAGAGATATGCAAGGTCCCACGGCTGTATTCTGGGAGATGAAATGGGGCTTGGGAAAACGTGTCAGGTTTGTAGAACCGTCTTTCGTGGTCCACAGTACAAATATTTACATGTAACCCTTATTTCATTATGCATTTTTTTTTGTTCAATTTAATCATATTTGGTAAATTTAATAATGGCATAAAAAAAAAGTGTTCTAGGGTCAGGATTCTAAAGCTATGAAATGAATCATGAATTAAACTGTTTTTTTTTTCATAACATATTAGCCAGATTATTCCTATCTCCTTCAGACAATATCCTTCCTAGTGTACCTGTATGGCAGCCAGAAGAACCATGGACCACACCTCATTCTGTGTCCCCTGTCTGTCATAGGGAACTGGAAAGATGAACTGAACAGGTGGTGTTTGTGGATGGTTAGGATATTTAAAGAACTTAATTTCCTTTAAAAAGAGAGACATATTGTGTGAACAGAAGTCTGGTTTTATTGAATTTTATCAGTAAACTGCCAACTTGAAGCAATTATATTGTCATCTGTGGCATTGCTGATGTCATTTAGATGATCTATTTGCCTGAGCAAGTTCTCACATGTTATTAGTAACAATAACACAACCTATTGATAGTTAAATTATAAATTCACATGAATTTTAAGTTAACTTTGTTTGTTTTCATTAATTGTATTTAAAGATTTGCCCCAAAGTTGAAATTGTTGAGTTACCTGGGAGACAAGGACACCAGGGGAGAGCTGAGGGATAAAGTCAGTGAAGAGAAAGAGGGCGACCACTTCCCCTTCCATGTGCTGCTGACAACATATGAGGTATGTCATGTCTTGCCATATGTAATAAGGGCCTGTTCAGAACCAGATGAGTGTGGACTAACTAGTCCATGGATCAAATATGGAGTCACCCACTTGAAAGCATGCCAAGATTTAATTGCTCTGCCCCTGCAGGGACGGCCCTTGGGGGCCAGTAATTCATTGTCAAGTATGCGCCATATTTGATCCATGGACTACTTAATCCCTGGATCAACTGGTTCAGGATGGGCCAATATGTTACTGGCCTGAATTATAGCAGTTTTGTATCATTAATTCCCATTTATATTTATTCAAAGCAAATAACTTTGTTAAGACAGGGATTTAACTGTTGAGAAAAAACAGAATTTCAATCTTCTCAATCCAAATTGGTTCATGTTTCAAGTTTGGTAAGTTGTAAGAATTCAG